GTTTATTAGTGTTTTTTTCTTCCTCAGATTTATGTTTAGTATTTTTATTTGTACTTCAGTTTTAGTAATTTTGGTATGTTAGTACTTAATCTTGTTTAATTTTTAGTTGGGCGTATTAGTGTGGAATATTTGTTACCCATGGAGGAATGTGTGTTCTGACACTCTGCTGTTTTTTTTTGTTTTCAATTACTTGCACCATCAGCATGTCAAGTTAAAAATAGTTCAACATTTATGCATTCCGTTGCACTCTGTCCAGCTGTTTTTTAATGCAAGAATGCATCCTATGTGAACAGTCCTGTTGAACATGGTCCTAAATCAGTCATTGTAATTATACAGATGGTCTTTAAAGGGGTCATATGATGCGATTTCAAGTTTTCCTTTCTCTTTGGAGATTTACAAGCTCTTGGTGCATAAAGAAGATCTGTAAAGTTGCAAAGACTCAAATCTCAAATCCAAAGAGATATATAAGTTAAGAGTCAGCCACGCCTACCTAAAACAGCTTGTTCTAACACGCCCCCACATATCTACATCACTATGTGGAAATATTTACATAATGCCACCCAAATGTGCATGCAAAGAAAGAAGGCATGGTTTCAGGAACAGCAGTCGTGTTGATGCAGCTATGTCAGGGAGATGCTGTGTGATTCAGTGCGAAAGCAAAAGCACTTTATTTGGTCATTATTTTGGTCATATCATTGGTTAAGATTTATTTACAACAGAACAGCACAACCCAGATGTTCGAATTTGTGCAACGCATTTTATGGACGACAGTTTTTTTGAACCTAGAAGAATACAAGGCTGACTGCACAAAGGCTATTTATAAAAAATAAAAAAAGGGTAAATTCCGACTTTGCTATGACAATCTGGCGCTTCTTAATCAGCGACTGTAAGTATGTTTTGTTATTAGTTTAAGTATTCGCTATTGACTGTTCAAATGCGGAGTTTTGCGCAGCGCAGAGTCGTGTGTGTGTGTGTGTGTGAGAGGAACAGGGTCACATCACAGGAAAGTGAACTGCCTGTCAGAAATCATAGCACCTCAGCTGTCTTAACCGCGGCTTGTGTACAACATTATCACTGTGTCTGTCACGTGACTCTGTTGCCCTTTCGGGCTTGAACTGATGGTAAAACTAATGACATTATTAACTGTCTTGATATTTACTTTGAAAGCTGACGCTCGCGATTATGGTAAGGGGCATTACATTTCCGACTCGTGCTTGTGGTGTTCGGCCAATCACAATGCACTGGGTCAGCTGGCCAATCAGAGCAGACTGGCTTTTCAAAGGAGGGGGCTTTGTTGAAAATGACATGTTTGAGAGAGGCGGGGCATAGAGGACCTACAATAATGTACAGTATTTGTTTTTTGAACATTAAAGCATGTCAACATATTCTGTTGCACCAAATACACAAAATAATGATCTTTAAAATAGCATCATATGACCCCTTTAAGACCACTGACTAGTCAATGAGCACCAAATCAGAATATTAGAATGATCATGTGACATTGAAGACTGGAGTAATGATTGCTGAAAGCAACAGCTTTGCCATCACAGGAATCAATTACATTTTAAAATCTATTAAAAGAGAAAACATTTTACATTATATGAATATTTTACAATTTCACCGTTTTACTGTATGTCTGATAGATTTTGAATAAATGCAGAATTGGTGAGCAAAAGAGATTTCTTTTAAAAGAACATAACACAAACATGCACACAAATTTTACAGATCCCAATTTTTTGAACGGAATATTTATATTTTTGATCATGCCATTAGTTGAGCCAATGTCTAGCTGGTCATGCACTTTTTTGGGGTATAAACCTATTAATGGGTTTCTTATTGTTGTCTCTACATATTAAGCAGAGATAGTATATCCAAAAATGACATTTATGCACTTTGATCATAAGACTTCCTTGACACAGTCTTGTATATGTGCTTGACAGAATGAAGTGTCCGTGTTGAGGACTGAGGTGACACGTCTGAAGGAGCTGCTGTTGGCCCATAAGGACTGCCCTGTTACTGCCATGCAGAAAAAAGCATATCTCGGTACACCATCTATCCATCATCATCCTCCCACTCGGCCAACATATTTTCTTTATTTGTCCTAAATCCCTTATGCATAATCATCCTTCCTCCGTTTCCCTCCCTTTAGCTGCAGGAGTGGATGAGATTTCAGCATCGGCATTGGTGATGCCTGCGTCAGTACCGGCTCCGGTGTCGGTTAATGGTCTGAGTGTGCGTGCGGCAGAGGCTGTTGCTGTTTTAGCGGGAATGGGCTCGGGCCAGTGGAGTAACACAGCTGGAGATGCTTCCTCCCAATCGCAGCCCACGTCCAGATGATGAGCATGTCGTTCAGCCAATGGGAACTCAATATACTGTCAAAGGAGTGAATCCCCCTTTCCCCTCAAAACTGTCAGTCCTGGTGTGTTTGTAAATGCTCTCATGTGACAAATGGGAACCAATGTTACCACGCTCTGACCACACCCTGCTCACCCTTAGCCTATCACAGACTCTCCCCCGGGCTAAGTAGGGACATCATAGGACTCCCCTTTCAGACTGCAGACTAGGAAGCACTGCAGTGGAAATGAAGTCTCTTCTGTCATCTCCATAAAATACACCTTTACATTTACTTGTATAGATCTTCTCACTAATGCATTGAGTTGATATTTGTCTTGTTTGCAGGAATTTCTACTTATTTAGCTTTTTATCCAATGATTTTTATAATATATTATATTATAATATAATGATTCGTTGCATGATTCTGGCCACATTAGAAAGATGATTGCTACATTATGCAGATAAGTTTAACACATTTCTCGGTGACACTATCTCTCACATACTCACTCTTACCATTTTTCCCAGTTTCCCTTCCCCCCCCCCAATTTTACTGTTGTATCTAAAGTAACTTCTCTCAGGTCTGTGCTTCTGTGGCTGTTTTGGTGAAGATCGTGTCCCACATTTAGCGTAACCTGGCACCGCAGAATGGGCTCACAAAGGCTTAAGAATGGAGAGAAAATATATTTTTATATTTGAATATCGTTATTGGTTTGTCTGTGTTTTGCAATATATATATATGGATATAACGGGTAGCGTAACCATGAGAACATGTTTTAGATCAGTATGATTACGATATGATCTGCTGAATTATAGGTATCTTTAACCAAAATACATAAATCTTTTGCATTTATGTTAGACCCCAAAGTTTAAGTGCATCTGGTCTCATAACAGGGAACACACGCACAAAAACTCACGCGTAATGACTCTTATGCTTGCATTTCGTGAATGTACAGTAGTTAACTAACCCGGCTATGAATGTGAAGTCTCGTTTCAAAATGGTTGAAATGCATTTGAGTAAGTTGGGTGTTAGAATGGCGTTATAGAAATAAAAACATTGTTTTTTCTTTTTTGGGGCCTGAAAGACTCACACTTGGCCACCCTGAATGAATTTCAACTGGTGCGCATAACTAACACATAACTTAAGTTGCATTCCATTAAACAGTTGATGTCTGATTACTTTTTAAATAGGATAATCTGCATTAGTTTAAGCTAACTGTTGCTGTTTTTTAAAATCCAACTTTGAATATGATTTTTTATGGAAGCCCATTTCTGCCACATAAGAAACAAATCATGCCGTGATAAATCATATCTATGACATAAAAAAACTAAATTATGACATAAAAGTCAAAATTACTGCATAAAAAGTCATAATTACATCAAAGGTTGAAATAAAAACAAAAAAATAGGTGTCATTTATTTTTTGTTTTTGTACGTTATGAATTTCTATCATAATTTTGACTTTTTATCTCATAAACATATGTTTTAATGTTATCTTTTTATCTCATAATTAAGATTTACCAAGTCATGTTTTTTTTTTCTTCTTCTTATGCTTAGGAAATTGGCTTCATAGGTTTTGGACAATGGCATAATTTTTCCTCTTGTAATGCATTTTGCTTAGATGATGTTTAGATGATCTAGGTGTTTTTTTTTTAATGATCCAATCTGCCATATCAGTTTCTGTCACTGACCTTCCTTGCATCTGGATTTATCCTCTTTAGAAGTAGAACGTACTGCTTTCCACAGTGTGTATAACTCACTGATCCCAAATTGTGTAATGTAAAGCCCTTAAAGACTTGTAAATATGAAATGAGTGTCAGCGTACAAACATTACTTACTGTATGATATTGACTAACTGAAACGGTCCTTAAGATATGTTATAATTAAACATTGTTGGAACTCTAGCCTCTTGTACATTCAATGAGATGCTTTGAGCTGGTTTTCTGCATTTTTTATCATCTTGTTTTGAAGGTGTTCTGTTCCACTGTATATAGAGGTGGTATGGTGGGGTTTGTGTGCGTGACCGCTCTGTGTATATGGAATAGCTTGAATGACGTGCATAGCCTATGCATTCTGTTGTTTAGCAGTGTGAGCAATATAAACATTACAAGCCTTGTATATGTGTATAATATAATATTTACAATGATATGGACACAAGTAAAGATATATTTCTTAATTAACATGTTATCACCCATTCACTACAACCCTTATCTCTAGTCTAAAACTACCTTAAGACAGTGCACTTTCTATATTATAGTTATCTATATATAGTTATCTCAGCTTGTGAAAAGTCAACTTGTGATGAGTGGTTGTCAGTATATTATAAAGGTACAAAACAGATTTTAGTAGCCTATATTACCATATCCATTAATTAAATGTACATTTTAAGGTTGTGCAAAATCTTTTTCTCCCTCTTTTGACAGACTTGGTTGCTATATGTTGCGTGGAAAAGAGCTGCGTGAAGCTTCTTCAAAATGTCTCCCCTTTTTTCACTACCTACGGATTTAGAAAGACAAAAGAGTGAGTAAATAATGACTCACTAAATAATTTTTTTTACATACATTGCATTAGATAAAGAAAGATTCTCTCTCACCACACCAGAGGGAGCAAAATCTCCGCGGCTTCAGAGCACAGGCTCAGACTCCTCATCCCGAGTCCTGGTCATGTGACTCTTCCCATCGGTTGGGATTTCTCTCTCGGCATGGCGGAGATGATGGGGCTTGGTCTGCCGTCTAATACCATTTGTCTTTCACTGTGAGGAGGACACGGGTATTTTTGTTGTCGGTAAACCGTTCTGCGCCGTTCTTTCCCCCGGTTTCGGGCCATAATGGCGGAGCGTGGTGTGGATGTGTCCGCTCTCCCCCAAGAGGTCCGGGAGCAGCTCGCTGAGCTGGATCTGGAGCTGTCGGAGGGTAAGCCTTTAAACAACAACGGCTCTTCCTTCCTCGTTTCAACGCGTGCATTTGGATGGTCATGTATTGAATTGACAGGCTCAGTCTTGCATCTTCAAGAAGAGCGTCCACACAGGTTCTGTGATGATGCTTCAATGTCGCCGCCGCTCGCGGAAACACACTGACCTCTTTTTCTGCATCTCTGGTTCAACGGCGCATTTATCCGAATTGTAAACGTCTATTCCGCTTTGTTTTGCGCTTTAATTGTCCTGACATTGCTCTAATATGTTTCCTTATTAACTGTTACGTTGCGCAAAACAAAAACACCGCGTGTGTGAAGCTCGCTGGACGTATTTATGTGATTATTTACAGGCCACGGTTATTCTGCATATGTGTCTCTTCATACTTCACACAGACTCCATCAAGTACTATTATGTGTTAGTTGTATGTTTGGTCTTTACTTAATTTGATAATGGAAAAAATATTGCAAATTTGTAATAGCCTACTGTTTGAAATTAATAGCTTTAGTGATATTTACTCTATATATTGCTGTTATTATAATGGGTAGGCTACTCTGTTTATGGGTAAGCTATAATGGGTAAACTAACATTTATCCTAAGGCTCGATGCTTTATTAATTATATTACTGCTTGACTCATTGACCGTGTTATTAATAGACCTAAACTATTTTTTCCTCCATAAACAATCAACACCTATAAGATTCAATGAGAGGTCATGAATGGCATTGGCCATTTATTTCTTAGAATGAAAAGGTACCTTTTTTTCCTTACTGGTATTTTTATTTATTTATTTCTCTAGTACTTGTGTATTGGATATTACTTATTCATTAGCTAATTATTCAATTGAATTCTTCAAAGGTCTGTCATTCTGGTTTTCAGATATTCAGATGTATTCTTATTACATGCTATCAGTAGCCTATGAACATTTTTACTAGGACTATTAAGTATTAGTTCTTATTCATTGTATTAAATTATTTAAAAGTTTATTTAATATAAAAAGAGATTCTCATTTATCTCTGCACCAGAGAATTGTTTGGAATAACAGCTGATCTGCCATCCATCAGTACAGCCTGGACTCATTCTCAGTATGTCTCCCACACAGCAAATCAAGAGAGCACCTGGAGGAAGATTACAAATGATGGGCTAGTTTGCTTTTGGCTTCACTTACTATTGTAAGGTTGTTTTTCTATTTTATGACAGTTGCATACATTGTCTTGTGTCCTTACTGATGCGGTTTTGCAAACACACACATGCTATCTCTTTCTGTTTTCTGTTTATGTTTTTAATTTCCCAAAGGTTTGGATCTTGAACCATTTTGTATCGTCATATATATATTTATGTATTAGCTAAGACTGCGTATCTGTTTCTCAAAGCCCACAATGCAGTCCTGGCACAATCCCCACCTACAGTCCTCACTTTTTGGCTCTTAGACAGGCGATGCCTACTGCAGCCTTTAAAATACAGTCAAAACAGACTCATTCAGTAAGTAGCGAGGTTTGTGTTAAAGTCTTAGCATGTATATGAGCATATGTTTAGCATCACACCCATATCGTCTTGCCTTTGCACTAATGACTGTATAGGTGACAGCACAAAGAAAAGGTCACAATGAAAGACTCTTTATTTCAGTCTTTGAAGACTGAAATGACCAGTGGGAGTATGGCTGCTTTCAGCTCACTGCTCAAAGACCCTGCTTTGACGATTTTTGTTTGGGTTCAGACATAATAGTAGTGTAGTTTTGGCCATATGTTTGACAGTATAGTTTATGGGGCTGCTGTTATTTTTAGCATGCTTAGCATAGGCCTTTTATTATTTTAATAGCAGAATAATGAGCTATGACAATATTAACACATTTGTATGAATAGTAACAGTTGTCACTAACAAAATAGTACTGTAAAATATGATGGTATTGGATATGTTTCCATGCTAATGGCATGTTTTTTGGACATTGTACCACACATGTGGCTAAGGATGGTATGAATTATTGATTTATACAGTATAATTCTTCCTTACACAGTATAATTTTACCTCTCTGGGGCTGTGCATGTACTTCTCATTTTACTTTAGTAAAGTGATATATTTCAAAGACATTCAACAACTAATTTCAGAATTTTTTTTTTAGAAAATATTTCTATACATTTCTCTTAAATGTATCTTTTGTACAGAAATCTTAATTTTAATTATGCTTAATAATTATTAAAAATATCCATACATGTAAAATACACAAAATGTTCTTTCATATAATATCCATACATTTATAAATACGTTGCTAAAATTGCTAAATTTTTCCTGTCAGCAGAAAAAAAATCCTTATTGTTGAACCCTGTAAACTATACAAATAGGCTTAATATTACTTACAACTTATAACATCCAAGTGAAGATATAACACTAACTGTTAACGATTATGGCTGCTTTCATTCCCCGATTTAAGTTGATCCGAAGGCGGTATGAAAACATTTCTATATTGTGATTCTTTATGTTTAGTTAATTCTTTATACTTTATATGCCGGATGTTAACCTTATTGCCTTTATCGTGCAAATTGTGCGATCTATTTCTGATGATGCGATGCTAGTCATTCTCTGTATAAAGAGCTTATTTCTTATGTGATCACGTTATGGATTTACATGCTTATATTTCTGTATTTTTTGTATGTTTACAATTTTACATTATCCCAAGATCGATAGTAAAGCTGGAGAAAAGATTCCTTGCGTCTGTTGTTATTGGAAGGCGTTATCTGTCTGCCAAATCAAGCAGGGCATTGATAAGAGGGCAGAACAACAACTTATCAGAAAAAAAAAGAATCACTGAGTTGGAAAAGGATCACCCCCCTCCTAAAAATTACTTAAACTCCATCAGGAGTAGCTAATCACCTTCTCAATGGCACATATAGCTATTTGACTTTCAGCTGTGATCAGCTGTGGTCATTTTGATTAGCTCAACATGAAAAGACCTTTTCTGGAGAATATCAGTCCTTGGTAGTGCAACTGAAGCAGACAATCAACTATGGGTGGCAAGGCACTGTCAAAAGATCTCTGGGATAAAGTTGTGGACAAGTACAAGTCAGGAGATGGAGACATAAAAAGGCTTAAACAATGCCTAGAAGCACAGTGAAGTCTATGATTAAGAAGCGGAAGGTATTTGGTAAAACACAGACTCTCCCTGGATCAGGACGTCGCCCCAAACTGGATGAAAGAGCCAGGAGGAAACTACTCAGAGAGGCGAAGCAGTTGCAGGAATTTATGACATAGAGTGGTCATGTGCATGTGACAACAATATCACAAATTCTCCACAAATGTGGCTTGTATAGGAGGGCTGCAAGAAAAAAAAACACTCCTCAAGAGAAGCCACATGCAGTCAGCCTGAGCTTTGCCAAAACGCATCTTGAAGATTCTGAGGCAGATGAGACTAAAATGTAATTATTTAGCCTCAACACCAAACAATATGTCTGGTGGAAATCCAATACAGCTCACTGTCCAAATAACAGCATTCATACAGTAAAGCATGGAGGTGGTAATATCCTGTTATGGTGGTGTTTCTCTGCAGCAGGGAGCACTTGTCAGGATAGAAGGAAAAATGAATGGGGCAAAATACCGTCAAATTCTTGAGGAAAGTCTTCTACCCTCTGCCAGCAAGTTGTCAATGGGAAGAAGGTTTACCTTCCAACATGACAACAACCCAAAGCACAAAGCAAATCTGACCACACAGTGGTTGAAGGAGAAAAAGGTGAATGTCCTTGCATGACCTAGTTAGAGCCCAGACTTCCCCATTGAAAATATGTGGAATGACTTGAAGACAGCGGTCCACAAACAGTCACCATCAGATTTAACTGAACTTGAGCAGTTCTGCAAAGAAGAGTGGACAAATATTGTAAAGTCTAGATGTGCAAAGTTAGTAGAGTCATATCTCTACAGACTAAAGGCTGTAATTAAAACAAAAGTGGTTCAACAAAATACTGCCGCAAGGGGGTGATGCTTTTTCCAACTCAATGATTCTGTTTTAAAAAATTTTTATGACATGTTGGTGTTGTATCTTTCACTAAGATGTTATAAGCTGCAATGAGTAAATACAGCTGGATAAAACAAAAACTGTATCCATCTTCATTTCAGGCTGCAAAGCAACAAAATGTGATAATTTTAAATGGGGGTGATTCTTTTCTATACCCACTGTATTTAAACATGCATACATTTAAAAATATGTAGCTAAAATTGCCAAATTTTTCCTTGGCCAACAGAAAACACTTCCTAATTGTTAAGTCCTGTAAATTATACAAATTAAGTCATAACATACTATATTTATTAACTATATATTTGTACATATAAAATAGTGTTAATGCAATTACTAGTGTGCATGCATTTGTTTACACTACAGTAACAAGACAGGAGATGATTTTAAGATGACAGGTCTGCAGAGACTCCACCATCAGCAAGTATTCATTATTTGTAATGTACGTGTGTTGTGAATGAAATAGTTTGTTTCTGTGTGTGTGTCTTCATGACAGAGGAAGAGGGGTGGAGATAGGAGGTTGTGACACATTCACACACAATAATGAGCACCATTGAAAGCATCAGGGCTGAGCAGTCGTGATCTCTGCTTGAATTCCCAGCACATGCTCAGACGCTTTTATGCACTTAAGCTGATCAAATGAGTTGTGTGTGTGTGGAAATCCTCTTCCATAGCTGGTCAGCATATACTTAAACTAAAGAGGCTCGGACCAGCTGTATAATGTCTGATTGTGTGCATCTGTTCAGGTAACCTCAGTAGCTAAGCACCCACTGTGACTGTAGGAGGACAGGCAGCGGACTTTCTGAATTGAGAGAAAGAGGCAGAGTGGGGGAGAGAGACCTAGGGACAAAACAAAGAGAGAGAGAGATTACTCTAAACTAGGTCACAGAGCATTGGGAAGCAAATACAGTACACTAATTTACCCATGATTCACAGCAAGCTTTCTGACATGTTTTGCTGTCTCTCCCACTATCTTCTCTCTGTTTTCTCCTCTTTCCCACC